CATACTGCCCCAAGTACTATCCCCCCCCCCCGTATATATACACCATACTGCCCCAAGTACATTATCCCCCCCCCCGTATATACACTATATCTTGCCCCAAGTACTCATCCCCCCCCCCCCCCCCGTATATACACCATACTGCCCCAAGTTACTACCCCTCCCCCCCCCCCCCCGTATATTACACCATACTGCCCCAAGTACTATCCCCCCCCCGTATATACACCTATACTGCCCCAAGTACTATCCCCCCCCCCGTATATACACCATACTGCCCCAAGTACTATCCCCCCCCCCCCCCCCGTATATACACCATACTGCCCCAAGTACTATCCACCCCCCCCCCCCCCCCCCCGTATATATCACCATACTGCCCCAAGTACTATCCCCCCCCCGTATATACACCATACTGCCCCAAGTTACCCCCCTATCCCCCCCCCCGTATATACACCTATTACTGCCCCCAAGTACTATCCCCCCCCCCGTATATACACCATACTGCCCCAAGTACTATCCCCCCCCCCCGTATATACACCATACTGCCCCAAGTACTAATATCCCCCCCCCCGTATATACAACCATATTGCCCACAGTATTGGGCCACTGGCCTTTGCACACACATGACCTTTAATGGTCCCCCAGTCTTAGTCCGTAGGGTTCAATATTGAGTTGGCCCCGCCCTTTCCACACACATGACCTTTAATGGCCCCCCAGTCTTAGTCCGTAGGGTTCAATATTGAGTCGGCCCCGCCCTTCCCACACACATGACCTTTAATGCCCCCCAGTCTTAGTCCGTAGGGTTCATATTGAGTTTGGCCCCGCCTTTGCCACACACATGACCTTTAATGGTCCCACAGTCTTAGTCCGTAGGGTTCAATATTGAGTTGGCCCCGCCCTTTCCCACACATGACCTTTAATGGCCCCCCCAGTCTTAGTCCGTAGGGTTCAATATTGAGTCGGCCCCGCCCTTCCCACACACATGACCTTTAATGCCCCCCAGTCTTAGTCCGTAGAGTTCAATATTGAGTTGGCCCCGCCCTTTGCACACACATGACCTTTAATGGTCCCACAGTCTTAGTCCGTAGGGTTCAATATTGAGTTGGCCCCGCCATTTCCACACACATGACCTTTAATGACCCCCAGTCTTAGTCCGTAGGGTTCAATATTGAATTGGCCCCGCCCTTTGCACACACATGACCTTTAATGGTCCCCCAGTCTTAGTCCGTAGGGTTCAATATTGAGTTGGCCCGCCCTTTGCACACACATGACCTTTAATGGTCCCCCAGTCTTAGTCCGTTAGGGTTCAATATTGAGTTGGCCCCGCCCTTCCCACACACATGATCTTTAATGACCCCTTAGTCTTAGTCCGTAGGGTTCAATATTGAGTTGGCCCCACCCTTTCCACACACATGACCTTTAATGACCCCCCAGTCTTAGTCCGTAGGGTTCAATATTGAGTTGGCCCCGCCCTTTGCACACACATGACCTTTAATGGTCCCCCAGTCTTAGTCCGTAGGGTTCAATATTGAGTTGTCCCCGCCCTTTCCCACACACATGACCTTTAATGACCCCCCAGTCTTAGTCCGTAGGGTTCAATATTGAGTTGGCCCCACCCTTTCCACACACATGACCTTTAATGGTCCCCCAGTCTTAGTCCGTAGGGTTCAATATTGAGTTGGCCCCGCCCTTTCCACACACATGACCTGTAATGGTCCCCCAGTCTTAGTCCGTAGGGTTCAATATTGAGTTGGCCCCGCCCTTTCCACACACATGATCTTTAACCACTCGCCTACCAGGCACTTCTACCCCCTTCCTGCCCAGGCCAATTTTCAGCTTTCAGCGCTGCCGCACTTTGATTGACAATTGCGCGGTCATGCAACATTGTACCCATATGAAATTTTGATCATTTATTTCTCACAAATAGAGCTTTCTTTTGGTGGTATTTCCTCCCCACTGGGCGCTTTACTTTTTGCGCTATAAATTAAAAAAAGTGCAAAAAATTTGAAAAAAAAAAAAAAGTTTATTTGTTTCTTTTATAAAATTTTTCAAACAGGTATTTTTTCTTCTTCACTGATTTGCGTTGATGAGGCGGGGCACTGATGGGCACTGATAGGCGGCACTGATGGGCACTGATAGGCAGCACTAAAGGGCACTGATAGGCAGCACTAAAGGGCACTGATAGGCAGTACTAATAGACAGCACTAATTAGGGGTCACGGATAGGCGGCACTGATATGCAGCACTGATAGGCGGCACTGATAGGTGACACTGATTATGGGTACTGATAGACGGCACTGACTGGCATCACTTCTGGGCACTGACTGGCGGCACTGACTGGCACAACCCCTGGGCACTGACTGGTGGCACTGACTGGCAGCACTGCTGGGCTGCACTGGTGGGCGGCACTGGTGGGCACCACTGGTGGGTGGGCACAGGTAGGTGGCACTGGTGGGCACAGGTGGGTGGCACTGGTGGGCACAGGTGGGTGGGCACAGGTGGGTGGCACTGCTGGCACATGTAGGTGGCACTTCTGGGCACAGGTAGGTGGCACTGCAGAGTGGCACAGGTGGGGGCACTGCTGGGCACAGGTGGGGCACTGCTGGGCACAGGTGGGGGCACTGCTGGGCATGGGTGGGCGGGGCTAGTGGGCGCACTGCTGGGAGGAACTTGCGGGGGTCACTGCTGGGCACCGATCATCAGGGCACTGATCATCAGTGGCCCTGATGATCGGTGCCGATCCTCGCTCTGACAACTGCCGGTTCTCGGCAGTACTTTCCTGACGATCTGACAGCGTGAGGAAAGTGCAGCCGAGAACCGGCACTTGCATTTTCCTGTGATCAGCGTGTCATTGGACACCGCTGATCACGTGGTAAAAGGCCGGTGGGATCGGCCTTTCACCACATCTCGTGATCAGCTGTGTCCGTAGGACACAGCGATCACGGAGATCGCCGGGTGCGCGCGCCCCCTGGGGCACGCAGGAGAGCGCGTTCTGGGAGGACGTCATATGACGTCCACCCAGAACTAGCCGGCCGCGGTGCAGCCATCATTCGGCTATGCGCGGTCGGCAAGTGGTTAATGACCCCCCAGTCTTAGTCCGTAGGGTTCAATATTGAGTTGGCCCCGCCCTTTGCACACACATGACCTTTAATGACCCCCCAGTCTTAGTCCGTAGGGTTCAATATTGAGTTGGCCCCGCCCTTTGCAGCTATAACAGCTTCAACTCTTCTGGGAAGGCCGTCCACAAGGTTTAGGAGGGTGTCTATGGGAAGGCCGTCTGTAATGGAACCAACCCCAGACTGCGCTTGGGTACTTCCGTTAGACTCCCGTGTCCCCGTCTGAACACCGACCACTGACACCACCGCTGATCATACAAGACGAGACAACACCAATCCTGAAGTAAACCAGGAGGTGACTAGTTTATTTGAACACAGATACAAGATATATACACTCAGAGGACAAACCCCCCTCCCTGCATAATGACACAGGGCGGGGCAACCCCCCTCCCTGCATAATGACACAGGGCGGGACAATCCCCCCTCCCTGCATAATGACAAAGGGCGGGACAATCTACATTTAGTAACCAGAGACATACCAGCAGACAGTCCCATCAGGGGGGAGGGCTGCTGGAGACACCCCCCACCAAGCCAATACACAAACACACACATCCCATAATAGTTTGCTCCCAAGCAAGACACACAATAGAACAATGGGATGCAGCCACATGACATTAAGCAATCAAACAACCCTCCCCTAATATTAGGACAGATCACCCTGTACCCCTAACAGGCACAGGGGGACTTACACATAGGAGGGATATGGGGAGCTGAGACAGGGGTCTCCCCACCTCTCCAAAGTGAGCTGTGTTCCATGGGCCCCCCACCCAAAGTGAGCCGTGTTCCATGGGCCCCCCCACCCAAAGTGAGCTGTGTTCCATGGGTCCCCCACCCAAAGTGAGCCGTGTTCCATGGGCCCCCACCCAAAGTGACTCCCGTCACAATGTCCACAAGGTTTAGGAGGGGTGTCTATGGGAAGGTTGGACCATTCTTCCAGAAGCACATTTGTCAGGTCAGGCACTGATGTCGGGGGAGGAGGCACTGATGTCGGGGGAGGGGCACTGATGTCGGGGGAGGAGGCCTGGCTCGCAGTCTCCGCTCTAATTCATCCCAAAGGTGTTGTTATGGGGTTGAGGTCAGGACTCTGTGCAGGACAGTCAAGTTCCTCCACCCCAAACTGGCTCCTCCATGTCTTTATGGGACCTTGCTTTGTGCACTGGGGGGCAGTCATGTTGGAACAGGAAGGGGCCATCCCCAAACTCCTCCCACAAAGTTGGGAGCATGAAAATTGTCCAAAATGTCACCTTAAGAATTCCCTTCACTGGAACTAGGGGGCCAAGCCCACCCCCTGAAAGAGACCCCCACACCATAATCCCCCCTCCACCAAACTTTACACTTGGCACAATGCAGTCAGGCAAGTACCGTTCTCCCGGCAACCGCCAAACTCAGACATGTCCATCGGATTGTCAGACAGAGAAGTGTGATTGGTCACTCCAGAGAACACGTCTCCCCTGGCGTCCAGTGGCGGCGTGCTTTACACCACGGCATCCGACGCTTTGCATTGCACTTGGTGATGGAAGGCTTGGATGCAGCTGCTCGGCCATGGAAACCCATTCCATGAAGCTCTCTACGCACTGTTGTTGGGCTCATCTGAAGGCCACACCAAGTTTGGAGGTCTTTAGCTATTGACTCTGCAGACAGTCAGCGACTTCTGCGCACTGTGCGCTTCAGCATGCGCTGACCCCGCCCTGTCATGTGACGTGGCCTACCACTTGGTGGCTGAGTGGCTGTTGTTCCCAGTGGCTTCCACTTTGTTATAATCCCACTAACAGTTGAGCGTGGAATATTTAGTAGCCAGGAAATGTCACGGATGGACTTATTGCCCAGGTGGCCACCTATCGCGGGACCACGCTTGGAGTCACTGAGCTCCTGAGAGCGACCCATTCTTTCACCAATGTTTGTAGAAGCCGTCTGCATGCCTAGGGGATGGATTGTATACACCTGTGTCCATGGAGGGGATTGGAACACCTGAATCACATGATATGGAGGGGATTGGAACACCTGAATCACATGATATGGAGGGGATTGGAACACCTGAATCACATGATATGGAGGGGATTGGAACACCTGAATCACATGATTGGGAGGGGATGGGAACACCTGAATCACTTGATATGGAGGGGATTGGAACACCTGAATCACATGATATGGAGGGGATTGGAACACCTGAATCACATGATTGTAGGGGATTGGAACACCTGAATCACATGATATGGAGGGGATTGGAACACCTGAATCACATAATATGGAGGGGATTGGAACACCTGAATCACATGATTGGAGGGGATTGGAACACCTGAATCACATGATATGGAGGGGATTGGAACACCTGAATTACATAATATGGAGGGGATTGGAACACCGGAATCACATGATATGGAGGGGATTGGAACACCTGAATCACATGATTGGGAGGGGATTGGAACACCCTAATCACATGATTGGGAGGGGATTGGAACACCTGAATCACAGGATATGGAGGGGATTGGAACACCTGAATCACATGATATGGAGGGGATTGGAACACCTGAATCACATGATATGGAGGGGATTGGAACACCTGAATCACATGATATGGAGGGGATTGGAACACCTGAATCACATGATTGTGAGGGGATTGGAACACTGGAATCACATGATATGGAGGGGATTGGAACACCTGAAACACATGATATGGAGGGGATTGGAACACCTGAGTCACATGATTGGGAGGGGATTGGAACACCTGAATCACATGATTGGGAGGATTTTGGAACACCTTAATCACATGATTGGGAGGGGATTGGAACACCTGAATCACATGATTGTAGGGGATTGGAACACCTGAAATCACATGATATGGAGGGGATTGGAACACCTGAATCACATGATATGGAGGGGACTGGAACACCTGAATCACATGATTGGGAGGGGATTGGGACACCTGAATCACATGATTGGGAGGGGATTGGAACACCTGAATCACATGATATGTAGGGGATTGGAACACCTGAATCACATGATATGAAGGGGGGATTGGAACACCTGAATCACATGATATGAAGGGGATTGGAAAACCTCAATCACATGATATGGAGGGGATTGGAACACCTCAATCACATGATTAGGAGGGGATTGGAACACCTGAATCACAGGATATGGAGGGGATTGGAACACCTGAATCACATGATTGGGAGGGGATTGGAACACCTGAATCACAGGATATGGAGGGGATTGGAACACCTGAGTCACATGATTGGGAGGGGATTGGAACACCTGAATCACATGATATGGAGGTGATTGGAACACCTGAGTCACATGATTGGGAGGGGATTGGAACACCTGAATCACATGATTGGGAGGGGATTGGAACACCTGAATCACATGATTGGGAGGGGATTGGAACACCTGAATCACATGATATGGGGGGATTGGAACACCTGAATCATATGATTGGGAGGGGATTGGAACACCTGAATCACATGATATGGAGGGGATTGGAACACCTGAATCACATGATATGAAGGGGATTGGAACACCTGAATCACATGATATGGAGGGGATTGGAACACCTGAATCACATGATATGGAGGGGATTGGAACACCTGAATCACACGACTGGGAAGGGAATGGAACGCCTGAATCACATGATATGGAGGGGATGGAACGTCTGAATCACATGATATGGAGGGGATTTGAACGCCTGAATCACATGATTGGGAGGGGATTGGAACACCTGAATCACATGATATGGAGGGGATTGGAACACCCTGAATCACATGATATGAAGGGGATTGGAACACCTGAATCACATGATATGAAGGGGATTGGAACACCTGAATCACATGATATGGAGGGGATTGGAACACCTGAATCACACGACTGGGAGGGGATTTGAACGCCTGAATCACATGATATGGAGGGGATTGGAACATCTGAATCACATGATTGGGAGGGGATTGGAACACCTGAATCACATGATTGGGAGGGGATTGGAACACCTTAATCACATGATTGGGAGGGGATTGGAAACACCTGAATCACATGATATGGAGGGGATTGGAACACCTGAATCACATGATATGGAGGGGATTGGAACACTGGAATCACATGATTGGGAGGGGATTTGGAGACCTGAATCACATGATATGGAGGGGATTGGGACACCTGAATCACATGACATGGAGGGGATTGGAACACCTGAATCACATGATTGGGAGGGCGGGGACAATACTTGGGGCAGTGTAGGACCATGTCCTTGGGTGGTGGCAGAAAGAGCAATACTTGGACCAATCCAGAGCAACTAGCAGCAGATTCCATAGATCCTATCATTGGATGGCCTTGGATTGGAGGAGCGCACACAACCATCTTACATTGGAAGGCGATGAGCCGCCATTTCTAGTTTGTCCAGGATTGATATTTTTGGGGTGGACTGGGGGGACAGAGTATAATGTGTGGTTGAAGGGGGGGAGGGGGGAGTGTATATTCATTGGATGATCCTGGAACCGGCCATGTTACCATTGTTAGAGGATTGATATTATCGGGGGACAGAGTAGCAGGTTTGGGGAGCAGAGGAGTCAAATCTTGGCTGGAGTGGAGTCTCTTACTTCCCCCCCTAGGATGCAGCACAGGGTGCCTGACTAATGGCTGGGCTCTGGGGGGCCATCGTGGGGGGGAGGGGGGTGAGAAGAGCCCTTTAGTCCTGTGTAAGCTCCAACCAGGCCGAAGCAGAATCGATGCAGAACTTTGTCCCTGCTGGGTGAACAGGGCAGCAAGGGGGTCAATGTGGGCAAATTACAACCTCATACCTCCCTAAAAATGTCCATGGAGTATAAAGGGGATATAAACGTATATATAGACGGGCGAAGAAAGAAAGGTCACAGATCACCGTACAGAACACTGCCCTCATCGACAAGAGGAGAAGAGACTTACCAGAAGCAGCAGAGGAGCGATGAGCCTCAACCTGGAGGACAATGAGGAGAATGAGACTTCAGAGGAGCGATGAGCCTCAACCTGGAGGACAATGAGGAGAATGAGACTTCAGAGGAGCGATGAGCCTCAACCTGGAGGACAATGAGGAGAATGAGTCTTCAGAGGAGCGATGAGCCTCAACCTGGAGGACAATGAGAAGAATGAGTCTTCAGAGGAGCGATGAGCCTCAATCTGGAGGACAATGAGGAGAATGAGACTTCAGAGGAGCGATGAGCCTAAACCTGGAGGACAATGAGGAGAATGAGACTTCAGAGGAGCGATGAGCCTCAACCTGGAGGACAATGAGGAGAATGAGTCTTCAGAGGAGCGATGAGCCTCAATCTGGAGGACAATGAGAAGAATGAGACTTCAGAGGAGCGATGAGCCTCAATCTGGAGGACAATGAGAAGAATGAGACTTCAGAGGAGCGATGAGCCTAAACCTGGAGGACAATGAGGAGAATGAGTCTTCAGAGGAGCGATGAGCCTCAACATGGAGAACAATGAGGTGAATGAGTCTTTAAAGGAGCGATGAGCCTTAACCTGGAGGACAATGAGGGGAATGAGACTTCAGAGGATAGAGGAGCCTCAACCTGGAGAACAATGAGAAGAATGAGATTCAGAGGAGCGATGAGCCTCAACCTGGAGGACAATGAGGAGAATGAGTCTTCAGAGGAGCGATGAGCCTTAACCTGGAGGACAATGAGGGGAATGAGTAATCAGAGGATAGAGGAGCCCCACCTGGAGGACAATGAGAAGAATGAGACATCAGAGGAGCGATGAGCCTCAACCTGGAGGACAATGAGAAGAATGAGACTTCAGAGGAGCGATGAGCCTCAACCTGGAGGACAATGAGGAGAATGAGACATCAGAGGATAGAGGAGCCTCAACCTGGAGAACAATGAGAAGAATGAGACATCAGAGGAGCGATGAGCCTTAACCTGGAGGACAATGAGGAGAATGAGACTTCAGAGGAGCGATGAGCCTCAACCTGGAGGACTATGAGGAGAATGAGTCTTCAGAGGATAGAGGAGCCTCACCTGGAGGACAATGAGAAGAATGAGACATCAGAGGAGCGATGAGCCTCAAGCTGGAGGAAAATTAGAAGAATGATACTTCAGAGGAGTGATGAGCCTCATCCTAGAGAACAATGAGAAGAATGAGACTTTAGAGGAGTGATGAGCCTCAACCTGGAGAACAATGAGGAGAATGAGACTTCAGAGGAGCGATGAGCCTTAACCTGGAGGACAATGAGAAGAATGAGTCTTCAGAGGAGCGATGAGCCTCAACCTAGAGAACAATGAGAAGAATGAGACTTTAGAGGAGTGATGAGCCTCAACCTGGAGAACAATGAGGAGAATGAGACTTCAGAGGAGCGATGAGCCTTAACCTGGAGGACAATGAGGAGTATGAGACTTCAGAGGATAGAGGAGACTCAACCTGGAGAACAATGAGAAGAATGAGACATCAGAGGAGCGATGAGCCTCAACCTGGAGGACAATGAGAAGAATGAGACATCAGAGGAGCGATGAGCCTCAACCTGGAGGACAATGAGAAGAATGGGACATCAGAGGAGCGATGAGCCTCAACCTGGAGGACAATGAGACGAATGATACTTCAGAGGAGCAATGAGCCTCAACCTGGAGGACAAGGAGAATGAGAGGTCAAAGGAAAGAGGAGCCTAACCAGGAGGACGATGAGGAGAATGAGACTTCAGAGGAGAGATGAGCCTCACCTGGCAGAGAAGAAAGAGAAGAATGAGACTTCAGAGGATAGAAGAGCCTCACCTGGAGGATGATGAGGAGAATGAGACTTCAGAGGAGAATGAGACTTCAGAGAAGAGATGAGCCTAACCTAGAGAAGAGGAGAGAGGAGAAAGACTTCAGAGGAGAGAGGAGAAAGAGACATCAGAGCAGAGATGAGGAGAATGAGATGAACCTCACCTGGAGGAGAAGAGAGAGAAGAATGAGACTTCAGAGGAGAGAGGAGCCTCACCTGGGGGAAAAGAAAGGAGAATCAGACTTTAGAGGAGTAATGAGCCTCGCATGGAGAGAAGGCAATGAGAGTTCAGAGGAGAGATGACCTCACCTGGAGGAGGAGAAAGAGGATTATGAGACTTCAGAGGAGACGGGGAGAAGAGCTTCGCCTGGAGTAGACGGGGAGAGGAGCCTCGCCTGGAGGAGACGGGGAGAGGAGAGCCTCGCCTGTAGGTGACGGGGAGAGGAGCCTCGCCTGGAGGAGACGGGGAGAGGAGCCTTGCCTGGAGGAGACAAGGAGAGGAGACTCACCTAGAGGAGACGGGGAGAGAAGCGTCGCCTGAAGGAGACGGGGAGAGGAGCCTCGCCTGGAGGAGACGAGGAGAGGAGCCTCTCTGGAAGAGACAGGGAGAGGAGACTCACCTGAGAGGACGGGGAGAGGAGTCTCACCTGAAGGAGATGGGGAGAGAAGCCTCACCTGAAGGAGACGGGGAAGGAGGAGTCTCACCTGAAGGAGACGGGGAGAGAAGCCTCACCTGAAGGAGACGGGGGGAGGAGTCTCATCTGAAGGAGACGGGGAGCGGAGTGAGTCTCATCTGAAGGAGACGGGGGAGAGGAGTCTCATCTGAAGGAGACGGGGGCATCAAAGCTGTAACTTAGTAACAACTTTCAGTTTCTTATTACAAGAAGTGCAATGAGTTCCAATTTATCACCCAGGAGGGGGCGGGGGCTCCAATGTTTATTTTTCTAATCATTTCCTCCATCTCAGGTGACAATCGATGAGTCAAAGAGAAAAATCCCCGGCAGACGACTCAGCGTCCAGGACTGGAACCGGCCAATTCATGCTATTGACTTTACTGACTCACTATCAGGAGGACTGGGGGGGGGACCTAGGAGGTGGATATGATCACCCATGTATGAATACATAAGGGGGATATGATTCTCCATGTATGAATAATACATAAGGGGGGATATGATCTCCATGTATAATACATAAGGGGGGATATGATCCCATGTATAATAGCATAAGGGGGGGGGATATGATCTCCATGTATATACATAAGGGGGGATATGACTCTCCATGTATAATACCATAAGGGGGGGGGATATGATCTCTCCATGTATATATACATCAGGGGGATATGATCTCCATGTATAATACATAAGGGGGGGATATGATCTCCATGTAGAATACATAAGGCGGGGGATATGATCTCCATGTATATTAAAATACATAAGGGGGGATGGATGATGATCTCCCATGGATATAATACATAAGGAGGGGATATGATCTGCCATGTATAATACATACAGGGGGATATGATCTCCATGTCTAATACATAAGGGGGATATGATACTCCAGAATAAATAACAATAAAGGGGTGATATAATCCTCGCGAATGTATAATGGACATAATGGGGAATAAGATTCTCCAATTGTATAATAAAATAA